TGGAAAGAGGTGGGAGGTGCCGTTCCGGAGGAGGTCGAAATCCAATGCATTACAGGGTTTTCTGGGGCATGGCATAGTACTTGCAAAATATTATTACGCAAAATCAAGATTTCGACTCCAAGGATTGCCGGTTATTATATCCTGTCACCCAAAAGGAACGAATCCAATCAGGAATGTCCAGGGTGGTTAATTGTGGATTCTGGAAATAGACTCCGAGCGGAGATACCAATACGCACGTGCACACGTGCTAAAATCAGAGAACAGGAGACTTTCTCTTGGACACCCCTAGCAGGTGAAAGAGCAGATAAAATCCACAGGCTCGTTTGTAATATATCCGTTAGGACACAAACTGCCCATACATCAAAGCTGACAATTCTTTAAGCACTTCATCCAGAACTCCATCAGCACTCCTCGACTAGCTCGGCCCCAGCACGAACATGGCAGGACTTCTCGGAGGTGGAGGAGAGGGCAGAGGAGGCCTTCTATCAGGGTACAAGATCAATTGTCTACCCCGTGTCTCCAACCGTTGTTGAGATGTAGTGTAGTATTACCAACACTCTTAATTCCACAACAAAAGGATTACCTATCGTACGGTCTCCAGACAAGGGATTCCAGTGATCGAGCTGACGGATCGACCAGGTCCGCGGGATTACAGAACCCCTTCTAGATTCTGTTGACAGTGTAACTGAAGGTTTGCCCATTGCAGGTTTCTCCAGTGCAAGCCGTCGCAGCATATGCTAACCAAGACATCAGGGTGGCGCGCCTGACGGGGGAAAGAAACCTGCCCAAGCGCAGCAGCCTCAAGCCACCGCTCAGGGTCAGGACCTAGAAGCGGCCGCCCTGGCGAAGAAGAAGAAATTGCACGAGATGAAGAAGCGACAGCTGGCACTCGAGATGGAAGAAATGGAAATGGACGGCAAATAGGGAGCCCGAGAGGATGGACTGAGACATACTAGTTAATCAAAATCCAAACCAAAGATCTCCTATCCTCTGCGAGTAATGAGGCTAAATGATATCTTCAAGGCCTATTAAATTCAGTTACAGTGGGCAGTGTAGTCAACAATTTGAATCCGAAGACATTGTATCAACTTCGACCTCAACCTCATCTTGTTGTTACGAGTCGCTCCCACGCTAGGTGTCACAACACGTAGGGTATCTTGCCAGTGGGAAATGGGGAAAGGTTATTTCAATGAGAGCACGAGTACAGTCCAAGCAGAAGCGGAAGATACCAACCCAGATCACGTCCCGGCTTCTTCCCCGCTCCTCTCTGCCCCTGCGCTTCCTCTTCCGGAAGTAAAGTCCACCAGTCATATTCCCCCAAGGCTAGACCGCGCACATATACCCGTCTCTTCCTGTTAGCATGCATAGCTAATGACGGCACAAATGCCGAGAAAATGTATGGGCGGCATGTGAAAACGAAGCCACCTGCTGACACATTGGCCGGTTCCGCTCAAAATCTGGATTTTGGACATTTTCTAGTGGGGTCGGACTATACTCTCCATCCTCCCCTTTCCATAGGAAAGTGATGTAATTGTACAAGCTCCGGCGCCCAAGTAGAGTGTTACTGCGTTCAATGTGGAGAGTGGCGCTCTCAGGTGATTGGTTTCCAATAAGGGATCTTTCCGAATGACCATATCCGCGGTTCACGTGCGACACTAGTCGGCTCTGGCGATATGTGAAGTTTCACTCTTAATGTTGAAAACTTTCCATGAGAATCTTACTACAGGTAACTTGAAGGATGAGCGACCAAGATCACATCCCTACCACCTTTGTGGTGTCGAACCGCCTTCCCATCACAATTCATCAGTTAAGCGATAAGCAATACGATTTCGTTCCATCAAGTGGTGGCTTGGTTGGAGCCCTCCATGCCCTCTCGCAATCTACAAACTTCAAGTGGTATGGCTGGCCAGGCGTCGAAGTCCCAGAGCAGGACCAGCAGCTGGTCAAAGAGGAATTGTCGAAGAGAGACGCCGTTCCTGTGTTTTTGGGGACTCAGTTAGCGGACAAACATTACAATGGATTTTCAAGTCCTGCGAGTCCTTCATAAGCCATGGCGTGATGATGCTAACTTGGAACTCAGACAAGATTCTTTGGCCTCTACTTCATTACCAAATGCACGAGATCCGCCTCAGCCGCCCGGATTGGGAAGCTTACCAAGAAGTTAATCGCTACTTCGCCGAAGCTCTACTTCCCGAACTGAGAGCGGGAGACGCTGTGTGGATACAAGACTACCACCTTTTATTGTTGCCCTCCTTCCTACGCCAAGCCCTGAACAAGTGCGAGAAGGATGTGAAGATTGGATTCTTCTTACACACCGTTTTCCCCAGTAGCGACTTCTTGAGGATTTTGCCGGTGAGAGAGGACATTCTGGGGGGGCTTCTAAACTGTGATCTTGTTGGATTTCATAATTCTGACTATACTAACCACTTCCTGCAAAGCTGCCAAAAGACTATGTACGCGTGCCGAAACTTTTGAGGTCAAAGTTAGATGCTGACACTGGAATTCAGGCACTTGGAGGTTTCTAACTGTGAGGTTAAGTATGAAGGCCGATCCGTCAGAGTTATTACTTGTCCTATCGGGATAGACCCAGAAGAATTTCATGCAAGACTCAACCTTCCGAAGGTCCAAGATCGTATCAAAGTACTCCACAAGAGATATGAAGACGTAAAGCTTATTGTGAGCGTCGATCGCCTTGACTACGTCAAAGGAATTCCGCTACGAATGGAGGCAATGGAGGCATTATTGACAAAGCACCCGGAACATATTGGGAAAGTGGTTCTATTACAAGTCCTAATTCCAAGCCGGGAGGCTGTACAGGGCTATCGGCATCTACACCATCAGATTGACGAGAGTATTTCCAGAATCAACGGTAAATTCGGTTTGTCTCTCTGTAAACATCCACGGTCAATCCTGCTTCTCACAGTCTTCATAGGAGACATCGAGTATAGTCCGATCCAGTCACAGTTCTGTTCCGTCTCCAAGGACGAATTGACCGCTCTATATGCTGCTTCAGACGCTTGTATAATCTCATCAACGAGGGATGGATTTAACGTGGTCTCTTTGGAGTACATCGCATGCCAGCGGGATCGTCTTGGGGTATTGCTATTGTCCGAGTTTGCAGGTGCCGCCGCAGTGCTGGACGACTGTATCAAGTTCAACCCCTGGGATACGGACAAGTTTTCAAAGGCCATCCACCAGGCCGTCACGATGGACGAAGAGGAAAAACGTCAGAGGTTCAACCAGTTACAATCGTTTGTTATGAGAAACACAAGGTGACAAAACCTCACCCAAAAAGTTGAGACATCTTACTGATTGTATGTCGCCGTAGCCAACGATGGGGACAGACGTTCCTTGATGCACTGAAGAACACAGGGAGAACACATATATGACAGATCTAGCGGCTAAAATGTTGCCAAAAGCATGTCTTGGCTTGGACAAGTGCAAGAGGGCCTACTCGTCAAGTTCGCACAATGATAAGGTGTTATCTATGAGATGATGACTAGGGACTACTACAGGAGGAATCATACAAATTCGATCAATGCCGAGATTTTGTAACGGATAAAAACGCATTGACCATTCACCAGGTCTGGTGAACCTATAGTCCCTTCTGTGAAGAGGACCCTCTCTGTCTACGAGGCTTGGACCTGGATTTTAGGTGGGTTTTACTTGCGGTGCTAGAACCACGAACCATCTTGACCGCACAGCGGCTTCCGATCGTTCGGGAAATCGATCGAAGATCCACGACCATGACTTTCCCAGGCGCCTCCATTCTGTCAAGTTATTATCCTCATCTACCGTCCATTGACCTCGCTTCGTTAGCCGAGGATTGCTTTCACCTTCGCTTGGGCAAAAGTCGCTGCTCGTGTCTGGATTGGGTGACCACCTTTCTCTGCTCCTGGTCTGACCTTGTCTTAGAAGATCCGTGCCACTAGCACATCGCGACACAGTGGCCGTGAAGACCTAACAACAGTTAGCAAGTGACTTAAGGGCGATATTTGCCAGACTGTCGGGCTGAACTCTATACACATGGGCCCAGGCCGTAGGTGCTTAGAGGAAGTCCTAAAGATCAGTCCCCCTATTAATAATCGCGGTGATAAAGGCAGTGTCACTCGATGTCACAGGCTATACGCTCAAGCGTTTTAATCTATCCCGGTGCTGATCTTACTCGTGATAGTAATTCAAAGGCTCATCGGTATTTAATAATAAAGCGAGAGTTATGCTGAGCTTACCTTGAAAGATATCAGGCCTAGATTAATCTTCGAAGTTAATACTCGCACCACGATTAATGAGGGTCTACTCGCTGTCTGACCCATGAATAGAGTTATGGGTCTCAGCTTTAATAGAAGCTCCATACTTAAAGCCTGGCTTGTGAAGTTAAGTCTCTTTTCGATAGGAATGCGCGGCAGTACCTTCTATAAGTATTGCCTAAAATAAGGACGGCGCTTCTTTAGAGTTAGCTTTCACACGCACTTGACAGGAATCTAACGAGTCAAAATTAGCTTCACTCCTTATATCGTCATTTTTAGTCACGTTTAACGCGCTTATTAGGTCGCGAAGATATTATTCATTATTTAGTCCCCTTTAATATCACCATAATGTCTATAGACTAAGTAACGGGAAGATTCCGTTATGAGACTAATAGGGGATAATAAGTTAGAATCATTACCTCTATCCTAGATTTATAACCTAAGAATAGTAGGAAGCATTACTACGGAGATAGCGCCGCTATTCGCTTTGGCTAAGAGTAGTTTAATTCTATCGTGAGGCTAATAGCGTTAGAGTTTATCTGAAGGCTAGAAGTTTTAGAGCGAACCAAATTGTCGTTACTTAGTGAGGAAATAATAATGTTATAGGTCTTAGCGGCCTATAAAGAGTAGCTCTAAGTTTAGCTGTTAGAATATTTATTAGACCTAGTCATTTTAAAAAACTTTATATCTAGTGAAATACTAAAGAAGAGACTTTCGAAATCGTTATTAAGACTCTTAATAAGGCCATTTTCATCAATCTAAGCGAGGGAGAAGTCGTCATAAAGGGAAGTATCTTCTAAAATCCGCCTATTATTAGTATTAACATTGTGTAGAGGGCTATAACATAGATAGTAAAGTAAAGCCTTTAAGGTCTTATCTAGTAAGTTTCGTGACTTTAGAGTGGTCTATTAGCGATTTCACTGTTAATAAGACCAAAGTTACCTAAAAATTGTTCGGGCTTACTAGAACGGCCTTTATCGCATGTGTGAGAGTGTTTATGCAGCCTAATTTTGGGAACTAGCGTCACGGCCTATGGCTTAACTTCTCAAATATATTCTTAGCCTGAGGAGATAATAAAGCTGGCCGGCGCTGTATAAGCGTACTACTTAGAGTGTATCTAAGGTTTAAAAGGGTCCTCGAAGATAATGCTGTCCATGTTAGAAAACGCACGCAGAAGATAGTGCACACGGAATATATCCTAAACAGATGAAAGACTGCGAAGCCGAGATAGTCACTATAGGAGAAATTAGGAGGGCTTACGTGATATAGACATAAGGACTAACTAGCTAGGCATTGGGTGTATTAGACGCTCTGAGGGGTTACGTCGCTAGTATATAGGCCGAGAGAGATTCTAAATCCCATAACTACTCGGGAAAGAATGGTACCCTTTTCGGACAGCTAAGTAGGAAAGCTAAATTCTTCTCTCTGTTGTCATGCTCTTGCAGGATCATCCCTAAAAGGGTCACAAATCAAGACTCTGCTTCCACTATCTTTCCCTAGGCGGTGTACGCATACTTTAACAGGGGAGTCACAGACCCAACGACTGCCAACTTACCCCTAACGCTTCGTCTAGACAGTACGCGGCCACACTCTTCCGAATTAACCGATCACCCACCGCCGAGGCGATCTATAGCACGGGTAGACTACGGGGACAGAAAGTGTCGGGATGCTAGTATCGAGCGAAATCAACTAATCGTCCTCTTCTATACAAGACATGTCTCACCAGAGAGCGGGATAGTCACGCTGAGAGGCTCTATAACCTAATCGCCGTGGGTATCTTCGGATCCTCCAAGACAGTTAACATGATTATAGGTCTAACTAAGCATGGTCTCCTTCACATTTCCCAGATAAGCGAACGTTAGGCAGATTTAAACCTGGTCAGGGCTGTCGTGGCCAGAGATATGTGGGTAAAACTTGACGAATAGCGAGGTCGGAAAGGAAAGGGGTCATCTAGCCCTCGTTAAAGCCTAACTAGTACCGGCGCGGAAGTCGCAGTCACGCGCCCGATAAATCACCGCTATTAGTTTTGCTGTTCCCTCGGTCATTTTTACTTAGCACCTTTCGTAACTTGGCCTCCTATAGATAGATAGTAGCTAAAGCTACTGAAGCTAGAGACCGTACAGAAAGTCCGAATGTGCTCAACGTACTTAGGTCGCCCTGGACATTAGATTTTAAGAGTTATAGAGATATACTTCGAGAATGGCGCGATGGCCGTTCATAACAGCGTCTTCCAGCCCGTCTAATTAAGAGTAGCTCCTATCTATCTATGTCTATAGGAATCGCGTAACCCTTAGTCAGCTAAAAGGCGGAGCGACTAAACCATTCCTTTAACCCCTAAGACCATAACCTTATCCAGGGTAAGGTGAGGCAGAAGTAGAGGCGAATCAAGCGACAGATCGTCCATAAAAGTAGGCTAACGCTTCTAAACACTAAACTCCTCAGGTCTTAGTGCGGTTAAGTGAAGAGTGTTTAGAGGGACCGCGACGGCCTAAACAGTTCTTAGCCCGGTTGATTAATATCGCCTATTTGCGAAAGAGTGGCAGGTCGTGATAAGGGAAGATAAGGGTTACTGGACGTCTTAACCCGTAACATAGTATCACGCTCGTAGGTGATCCCGTCATTACTAGTCACTAATTTAGTTAGTGCTAGGATATAATGTAACCATCCCGAGTTTTCGAAAGCAAAATTTCTGGAGTTATAGGATAGGGTAGCTTCGGGTGAAACGTTAGTGAGAGAGCTAAAGCCCTCATTAGGACACATTAACCCTTTATAGCCTTCTGTGAACAGGCCAGCACTATGCGTAGTACCGAGCAGTGCTTTATTAGCTCCAGGTAAAAATTGTCCTTATTAAAATGGTTAATCGCGCATAATAAATTCCATCTTAACGCTCTCGAAACCCCTAATAACCCCCTTTCCAATTTGAGTCACGAAGACCTCGGAGAACCGAGAAGGCCCCTCTAACTCGTTCTAGCCGTAGAGAGCCCTGATCAGCGCCATCATGAGCCCTTGTACAAGGCGTCTACACGTTAAGAACCCTTAACCGGCTGAACGGTGAAGAGACGTAAAACGACGCTTGTGCGCGTAGAGATTATTAACTGAGGGGCTTGCAGCCAGAGTAGCCAGTGAGATCTAACGCAGGCATGAATGCGACCAGACCGACGTGCCTAACTTTCTCGTTCTGAGGTTCTAAGAGACAAGGGCGGTTCGATCATCGCGGGTAACTAAGTGGGAAGGTAGCTCAGGGGCCGCCTCGGCGACAATAAGTAGTGCGCAGCCATCGCAACATCCTGGTTACTGTCGGGTGACGCCTTTCTCTTCTGGGCCATGGAGAGTGAGGACGAGAGGGCACAAGGGTCAAAGAGAAGAAGGCTCAACAAAACGGCGAGGGACGACGTTCTTTTATAGCGGGAGGGTCGACCGGGGTCGGAGGCAAAGCGGCGAGAGACCCGAACAGTCAGCACTAAACCGCAAACGGCCACGCCTTCCCCGAATGGGACTGAAATCGAGAGCGCCAGACCCGATTGAGGGTGTCAAAGCGGCGCCAAACCGCATCCGCGCCAGAGCGAGTCCCTCGCACCGCGACACAGATTATTTAATATTATTTTAATTTATTTAAAGAAAGAATATTTATTATTTATAGTTTTATATACTAATTAAAGTGTTAAATCTATTTTAGATCTCTCTTATTTATAATTTAGTCATTAGAAAATATAATGATAATCTAGTTATTATTAAGAGAACTAGATCATATCGTAATAAGGAAGGGTATAGCGTAATAGGCGTTTATTAATGAATGACTAGCTAAGTGATAGCTAAATAAGGACTTAGAGAGCTTAAGGAGTGAAAGCTCATAAAGGGGGGTAAAGATCTCCTTATATAGACGTAAAGAAGAGTCTATATAGAAGGCTTTAGAACAGAATAAACTATTAATTATAAATTAATAGTCTTATCATGCTTAGCCTTACGCAGTGTACTCAGCCTTACACGGGTTAACTGGTTAACATTTTTAACTTAGAATAGTTAATGTAG